CATTATCTTCTGTAAATGCAACTTATTTTTCTGCCAGAGATGTAAAAAGCACCTACCTAACCCTTGCCAGTTAGTAAAATGAGTTTTGTTTTACGTCTTTTTATTAACTGAGCTATGTAGCTCCTTCTATCCAGAGACTGAATTAAAGTTCCGTTAGTTAAGGGAGCATGTGGTTAGATAGGAAATACAATAAGTACTATTGATTTATAGCAGCTTTGGGCTATTGCTATAATACTGTATTTGGTCTTTAAACAGATAGAAGATAGTAGTTAAATGTAAGTTTAGACATTGTTTACACTTATTTAAAATCATCTTTTCCTTTGCCCATACAGGCATAGTAAAAGTAACTCCCCACATCTCCAGCAGTGCATACACACATTTTCTTCCTCACATGCCAATCCATTTATCCACCAGGACTGGATAAAGGAAGCACTACATAAGCTCCATACCTCACCCAAGTTCACAACAGGCTATGGACTCCTTCCCAGGCCATATGTGACAGCAATGGACCAATTGTGAGACACCTAGCACTGTCACATATAAGAGGGTAATTAGCCCATACTAATCCATACCAAGACATCCCTGGTATTTCTATTTGCTGTCAGTAGCTGAAAAGGTTAGCATGGAAGCAGGGAAAGGAAGGAATGCTGATGGGGATAGGCAATGTTAAGTAACCCTTGTACTCTGCCTGTATAAAAAACACACTCATTTAAAACAACGATAATACACTTTTCAGAAAACAAACTGAGAAAGTTTAAGCAAACCTAAATTTGAAATGTAAGCATGCACAGTTTCATGAGTGAGCCCACAAGGTAATGAAATATGTAACAGACAAGTCTTACATTTTTAAAGTAAATATAAAATGCTCCTTGTTCTCTTCCTCATATTTATGCAAAATTTCTGGAGAGGAAAACAACATTTTTCAGGATGCCTAAAATTCAATACTTGAAAAATGAAACAGGAAAACACCTGTGTTGTGCAGAATTTTAAATACAGAAACCAGAACTGTACAAATATATATCATTGCAATATAGTCATGGTTCTTAAAGAAACTTTTTTCTGCTCCTTTACCCATAATTACTATCTTCAATATGCTGGGTCATGCATGCATTTAAGATGTGCAAACATCAACAAAAACACTGGAGTGGAAGGAATTCAGAGTTTCAGGACAAATTGCTTACTGTGATACTAAGATGGAGGGATGGATAGATTATGGGGATGAAGCTTGGTAATATAAAAAATCCCAAGATGCATCTGGAGTGCAATGAGCTGCTTAGGTTGCTTGTAACCTTTAAGAGCTGGGAACACCATTTGTTATATTTATTCACACAACATTATATTAGTCTGCAAAATGTGTTGTATTTTAGTTGTAGGACCACCCATAGCACTCTGAATGCCTATACAGTATTAGACTAAAGGCAATGTATAGTGGTTTGGTTTGTATTTTATTTATGTATTTATTATGGTCATAAATATGTTTCCTTTGTTCCCTTCGGTTAAATATGAAATATAACATAGGAATATTGTAATGTAACTGTAACTGTTTACTGGGCTGCATGACCTGTATAACTGGCGTATAGTGAGGGAGCATGTAGTCTCTTTACCCATTCATGTTTGAACTTAGGTTCTAGAATCTCTGAGGTATTATAGGCATGGGACTCCCCAGGGTACCCACTGCCCCACTCCTGCACTTTGCCCTATAAAATGCACCCTAGAAGACTCCCAGCCTGGCCTAGCTTGTTTCCCCAACAGTCTGCCACATACCTGCTTCAGGTCAATAGACCGCCCTGCCAGGATAGCCTGTTTCCAAAGGCTGTTCCCATAATGAGTTTAGGAGAAGGATGAGTCCACACAAAGAAAGCCATTTAACTATTTACTTGAAAAGTGATAATTACATATGTACAGCTCCAACCATCCCAGACATGTGACAGCACATTTTCTCTTAAACGTCTTCAAGAGAATAAGTAAATTTTTTATATTTTTTGTCCTTCAGCCACTTATTAGCTTTGTTCTCTTTTTCTGGACTCTCTCTATAGTTTAAGGACATCCTTCTTGAGGATTGGTGACCAAAACTGAATGGCATCCTGAAGAAATGGCCAAACAAAGGTTTTTAAAGTGGTAAAAATATAGTTTTATCTCTTTAGTAAATCCTCTTTTAAATGCATGCTAAGAATCTGCTATCCTTTCTTGCTGCAGCTTGGCAATGCATCCTATTGATGAGTCTGTGATCTACTAGGCCCAGCAGATTCTTTTCCACCCTCCATTTCCCCAGAAGTTCTCCCCCTAGTGAGTAACTTTACTGATTATTTTTTGGGCATTACTTTACATTTTGCAATATTAAACCTCATCTGTCATGTAGCTGTTCACCCCTCTCTTTTAACTATACAGCCTCTGTATAATATATGAACAAGTTAAACAGAACTGGTTCCATGACAGAGCCCTTGGCCACCCTGCTCACAATTTTAGACTATTCAGTGCCATTAAGCCCTATAGGCCACAACCACACTCGCTCCTGCAACCAGTTTTCTATCTAGGTACATACAAAATCATCAATGCCAAATTAACTTAATTTGTAAATTAAACAATTGTCGGGTACCGTATAAAATGCCTTAGAATAAACTACTGTAGATAGACTACATCCACAGATCTTCCTTTATTCAGATTACAGTTTACCTCCTCAAATAATGTTAAAAGGTTGGTCTGGCAAGAGCAGTCTTTCATAAATCCAAGTTGGTTATTACTGATCATACTATTTTTAACAGCATGAATATTGTCCCGTATCATCCCTTCCAATAGTTTACATACTATTGATGTAAGACTGACTGTTCTGTATTTTCCAGGCTTCTATCTTTTAGCTCTTTTTTGAATATTGGTACCATGTTTGTTTTTCGCCCATCTGCTGGTACCATTTCTGTCAGTAATCAATATCTAAATGCTATCTAGTGCTATTACTGGGTACATCCTTGCCCTACTCTACACTATTATTTAGTCTCCAATTGAGGTGGCTGGTAGAGCTCCCCTTTCACACATATAATTAACTGAGAAAAATCCTGCATCAGACAACTCATCCTAAATTTCAGAGGCAGAGGTTGTACCTAAATGGAGCTACTTTATCTCTGCTGTCTCTTTGCTAATGCATAGTACTCCAGAAATCCTTTTCCATATGTTAAATGTGTATTTGTAAAGCCAAAAAGTTATACCTATAGTAAAAATGTATATGGGGATATAAATACTGTAAAGCAGTGTTTTTCAACTGGGGTGCCGCGCACTCTGGGTTGCTATGATGACTCCCCAGGGGTTCTGCAGCAACATGAGATAGAACTGCCACAACCAGTAACAGTCTGATCAGACAACGATCCTGTGTTAGATTCTGTGTACAGACAGGAGGGAGAGAGCACAGTCATCACTTCTTCCCAGGTCTCTCCTCCTCCCTGCTGCTATCTGCACCCCTGCCGGTAACCCAGGAAACTGCATGGGCCACCCTCCTGTGTTATAAAATAAAAATATAATTTTTGGTTGCTAAGGCCAGGTTGCATGGCCTGCACAGCTTCCTGGTTTATCAACTGGAGTACAAAGAGCAGCAGGGAGGAGGAGAGACCCGGAAGGCATTGCTGACTGTGCTCTCTCCTCTCTGTATACAGGAGTTAACACAGGATTGCTTTTTGATCAGAGCTTAATTACCTCCTCATATTTCCTCCCCACACTGCTCCTGTCCCAACAGCAAAACTTATGAGTAGAAGGAGGTAATCAAACTCTGTACAGTCCCAATCTGAATGTGTTCTGTGTTATCTCTGGTATACAGATAGGAGGGAAAGGAGCTGGGGGAGGGGGAAGGGGACAGCCCACACCACTGGCTCTCTCCTCCTGTCACTAGTCCTGTCCTGTAGTGATGCGAGGGATGAGGTGGGATAGGAGGCTTTGTGATAGAAGGGGGGATTTGGAGGGGGAAGGAGGAACAGGATTTGTGCTACGAGGGAGGAGGATTTGGGAGGGGAATTTGTAGGAAATTTACAACCTACAAACCACTTAACTCTTAACTGCCTTCCAAACTACATTTTAGAACATGCAGTGTGTTAACGTGCAAAATCGAGCAATTTTCCACATCACACAAAAATGTGCTGACATTTGCAGGTGCAAGTGAGTGCCACTAATTAATGAATTAACTAATTAGTTATTTCTTAATTGCACCCCCACACATTTAGCAAGTATGGTATCGCAGTACCATGTGTTTTGGTGTCACTCAATTTAAAAAAATCATGCCTGCATCTTTTTGTATCGTAAGCACATAGCAACCCATTAAAATATGCGACTAGAGGGAATGACCAAAAAAGTACTTGAACACACCTCCTGGTGTGAATAAGCCCTCAAACTGGTGTGCCCCATCATTTCAGTGCCTCAACTGAAAAAAGGTTGAAAACACAGCTGTAAAGCAGTGATTGGGACAATTGCCAAATGTCAACTGCAGGTGGATCAGTCACCATAATTTAAAAAATATGCACAAGGATGTTTCACCAGCAGTAAATGTATGGCAATGCACTGCTTTATAATAGTGTACCATAGAATGAAACCCTGTTTGTGAAGGTATAAACTAAAAAAAATAAAATAATTTCCCCAAACCATGAGAATTTCCCTTAAAAAAAAAAAATCAAGATCATAGTGACATCCTTTGTGATAATTTTTCTATTTTGATGGAAACTCACAAAATGCCTTTCAGAAGTATAGTTCACTCTTTCAGTCATCTATTCTGCAGTCCTTTGGCACTTTGCATTAAGATGGAATTGTATTTGTAACCCTAGTAACAGCAATAACTGTGTTATTCTATAGTTATTGAACAAATGTTTGTAACAAAAGAAGTTCAGATTCATTGTGTCACTCTTTCTATTGCTGACCCTTAGCAATCTATGCATGTGAGAAATTACAGATCTGTTTCAATGTGTCACATTAGAGGTTAAAAATAATTGCATGAAACAGTGATGGAAGCCAGGTGGCATAGAGTGAACTGTTGCATGAAGGATGGAAAACAGACAGAGTGAAAGAGAACTGCCTGCTCTCCTCTTGACTTACACAACATCATTCAGTTCCAGTCTAGTGTCTGGGGAAGGATTGATGAGGATGTAGGACAGCGTGTTCTGCTGATCATTCATTTCATCTAGAACAAAAAAAAAATACATAGTTATTGCCTGAACCATGATGAAAATACAGTGCAAAATGCCACATAATTAAAACAGATATAGTCCTAATTAGTGAAGACAACTGGAACATAGTAATTACCAATGATTCTACGATTTGCTAGTGATTTACAAATATAACAATTCTTCAAAAATTATTCAGCCCGAAAGCTAGCCTCCCAAATTCACAGTCCATTCATCATCAGAAAAATCTACTAGCATCTGTGTTGCTGATGGGCCTAGCTATACATCCATTTGCATTATGGCCAGTCATTAAGATCCTCCCACTATACAGCTGGTGGCTATTTATACTAATCTGACTGGTTAAAATGTCTTTATGCGTAGACAGCTTGAAGCAAATCTGTTCTTCAACCAATAAAGTATAACTATGGCCAAAATAAAAAGCATATGTTGTCATATGTTGTATATGATACAGTCTGTTAGTAACATTAACACAACTGTGTTTTTTTTTATTTGTTTCCTTTTTGTTTTTTTCTGGGTTTCTCTTATAGCATAGTTTTATTACCTGGTGATCTGGCTAGCAATGCTGGTATTTTCAACTTCCTTTAACAGACCAATCTGACGAGCAAAGGTGGCAGTTAGAGTGTTGAGAAAAACCATTTAACACTATATAAAAAATTATATGCAAAATTATACAAAGCAGTAACCCATGGCTATCTCATTACAGATGAAACAATATATATAAATAGTCCTGTTGGGGATATCAGAGATATGAGCATCTCTATCCATCGCTTGAACTGTTTTGATCTCCTCCTCTATAACAGCCTTTTGGTAGCCTTTCTTTTGAAAACGTTCTGCCACTATGGCAGATTGGGAAAGGAAGTCATCATCTTTTTGAGCAATTATGCCTTAGGCATATAAATTGTCCTCTAGGAATATTACATAGCCACGTTTTATGGTGACAGCTATCTAAAGGAATATACTAAATCCAATCTGTAGGCTTGAAAAAATTCCTAGTCTTGAAATAGCCATTATCGTTATAGATTTCCAAATCAATGAAGACCATTTGGTTAAGACTAGTATTCCATGTAAGAGACATATTTTTATCATTGGAATTTCTGCATAAACATGGCCAGCTATCTAAAGGGATATGTCCATTCCGATCTGTAGGCTTGTAAAAAAATTCTAGTCTTGAAAAGGCCATTATCTTTACAGAATTCCAAATCAAGGAAGACCATTTGGTTAAGACTAGTATTCCATGTAAGAGATATATTTTTATCATTGGAACTAAGTTTCTGCATAAACATTATTAAATAAATCACTCGGCAACTTATAACCTAAAAATAACTCATATAGTGAATAACCAACTTCTAATTCCAAGAAAAAGTCACACTTTCACCCTTGAAAGCAAATACTAGTATTAAAAACATTTTTCGTAACCTTAACTTAAATTACTAAAACAAACTTTAAAATTAAATAAAATCCCCAAAATTTTATTTTCAAGTCCACCAAAATCTCTCAATCCTGTGTGACCAACTTCAATATTTCCAGCATTTCGGACCCAGTGATTACCTCAAAAAAATAAATATTGATCCCTTCAGAAGAAGTCCGGAAGTGACGAAACGCGTCAGTGTACGTGACGTCTGACGTAATTGTTCAAAACCGGAAGTGGTGGCGCAGCCATTTTGTTGACTGGAAAAAGTGCTTTGATCTTAGGAAGCTGCTGTGGCTGGATCATGGGAATCTATCACTGAATGTTCAAAGTCTCTAATGTAAGATGCTGCATTAAATGATTTGGTACCTATTATATCATGCTACATGGGTTATTTTCTATCTTTTATGAGGACAATGGTGCATTAAAGGTTTACCCTACATACAGCTATTGAGAGCTTGGAAGTGACTGCTAAAACATCTGAATATCCCTTAAGGCTTGATATTACGCCATAAGGGTAATTGTATGCATTCTTGCCATATAGAGGTGGGTCATGGAGTGTTCACATAATTTTATGTTTATTGATTTAAAAAAAAATATTTTATTTTATTTTTGCTATTTAATTATATAAATTTTTGTGTATTATTGATTTGGTTTGTTTATTTATTTAATTATTTATTTATTTTATTTTATTTATATTTATTTTTTTTTTAATTTTTGTTTTTGAGTGTACACAATTTGTCACTATATATTAGTTTATTTATAGTGTACACAGAGTGATTTTGCATGATTCATGTGTTACTCACAGTTGAATCTATTTTATATAAAAAATCTTTTTGCACAGATATAGTATATACTTATTTGTTTTAAAGGTATATACTTATTATTTGAAGGTAATACACTATTTTAGTTTTATTTTTTCGAGGTAATCACTGGGTCCGGAATGCTGGAAATATTGAAGTTGGACACACAGGATTGAGAGATTTTGGAGGACTTGAAAATTAAATGTTTGGGATTTTATTTAATTTTAGAGTTTGCTTTATTAATTTAAGTTAAGGTTAGGAAAAAGGTTTTGAATTCTGCATAAACATGTCCAAACTACTTCTAAATATTGAAAAACCTCAGTGAACTATAGAGGACTTGTCATTAACAAAGGTTACTCTGGTCAATATAGGAATGGAACTCCTCACCCATAATAAGTTTTTTCTGTGTCAATAACAGGTTTGCCCAACTACAAAGGAATAATTTCCAACATGGGAGCAATTTTTAGGGACACATCAGCCCCCAGTGAATGGCATGGGGTACAGACATCAGTTGAAAAAGGGTCTGGGGAAAAAAGAAGAGACAAAGAGGAAAGAGAGCCGGTAGAAGGTTTCAAAAGAAAGAGATTCCAGTAGGGGCAGGAATTTATAATCTTAGTGGGGTCACATTTAATAATGATGAGATGCGGGGGTCCTAGATAAGGGCCTCAAATTTGCCTCTATTTGTAATCTAAATAAATTTCAAAACTTATATAAGCATTCAAAAATATGTTAGAAGTCTGAACATTAAAAAATATTTTTTTTTCCAATTCTGGAAATCTAGTCACTACGCAAATCCATGAAACTCACTCGAATCTGAGAAACAAATCAGTGTTCAATCCACCTAATTCTGATAATAAATATATTGAACTGATTAGGAATTTAGTAGTGAATGATGTTGATAATTTGAAAAATCAAGAAGATGAGAGACCCTATACATTTCAAGAAAGGCATTGAAACCTTGGAAAAATAAAAAAGAGGTAATTTTTCTTCTGGCAGACAAAGGGGGAGGGTTAATAAATAAACATATAACCTCCTCCACTTCAAATTCCTCAAAAAGTCATACTTTCTCCCTAGAAAGTGCAATAATCATATATTATAACCTTTTTGTGATACAATAATAATCTAATTAAACCTTAAAGTGTCATATATAATCACCAAAAAACCCCCATAAATTGTCCAAAAAGAAAGAAAAAAATCCAACGAAAAATCCAGTGTCCAAAAAAAAAAAGTCCCAGATTTCCAAACTTTATCATCCAATAGGAAGGATTGAATCCTATTTCATCCCGTGATATTACCTCAAAGAAAAAAAAATATAGATACTCTAGTGCATTACCTTTATAAAAAAAAGAAGAATATTCACTCCGTGCAAAAACACAACCTATAAAAATGTGCAAAAACTTTTTGTTGAATTAATTAATAATTATATATAGTGCTCATATAGACTACAAATTAAACTGTGAACACTCCGTGAACACTGCAACACTGTGCATCCACCAACACCGATAGTATTACATACTATTACCCTCTGTATATATATAATCAGCTCATCAGCATTAAATCAGAGATCTTCTATTTCCTCTTCAAAGATATTTTCCAAGGTCCTCAAAAGACAAGAAGGGTCTCAAGACTCATATTCAAAGTATAGGGAAAATTTTAATAGCCACTTACATTTAAAATTCCACATTTCCAGCTCCAAACATGGCTCCTATGCAAGTTCTAACAAACAAATGCAGTAAGCCATGTGTGAACAACCAACAAAATGGCCGCGGCGACACTTCCGGTCTGCGTACATGCGTCTTGACGTCACACCCTTAACGCGTTTCGTCACTTCCGGACTTCGTCTGAAGGGATACGGACGTCCCACATCTCACTCCTTTTAAATCAATGCCTCTCAATAGTGTGAGGCTACCGCCGCCATTTTAGAAGAGGGAAAAACAGGCAATACCAATTCCTCTGTCATTCTTATAGGTACACAAGACCTAACGTATATCGGTCTTATCAAAATACCATACCCAAAGTATAACAGGGGACTGCAGGTTACTTATACATATAACAAATCACAATATACAAATATTACTCTACTAATTCTTGCCTCAATATTAACAAAGATAATTTGATAAAATATTACACCACATACCAAGACTATCTTACATATAATCATCACCATATTTCTAAAACCATTTTAATAAATACAGATAAAATAATGATAATTATAATAATATTAATAATAGCCCCTCAAAATTTCATTTTTATCTTTATATCTTGAACTCTCATTAAAATCTTAATACTCTACTCCCTCTAGTGGTCACTCTCATGAACTATCCGACCTTACAAATAGACCATATTTTATTATTATTTAATAGCTCATACCATTTAAAATATTGAGGTCAAAAATCTTTTTCACCTCAAATCATATATTCAATTCCCTTTACTACAACTACAATAGGACTGCAAATCAATGCAACTATAAATTAAATAATTATATTAATTATAAAATATATATATATTTTTTTATATATCCCATTATATTATTTTCTACCACGATCAACCATAAAATCCTAAAAAATCCTAGTTAACAGCTCCCAACTAATATACTTAAATATTCACTATTAAAAATCTGAAATAAAACAATTTAAGTCAAGTTCTATATTTAGACCCCTTGGTTTTAGTGTATTCATCCTAAATATCCAAAAAGTTTCATTTTGAGACAATTTTTGGATTTTATTCCCACCCCTCCAATGTCCTTTTACAGTATCAATCCCACAAAATTTTAAAACACTTGGAT